CCCCCGCACCTCTGGTGCGGGGTCCGGCCCCGGAGACCCCCATCCCCGCCGGTTGTACCCATCCCCGTCGCCCCTTACCTCCTCCCGGCACCGCAACAGCCGGCAAAGGCTTCCCTCAGCCCCTGGGCACCGCCATGGTGGCACCTGCCAGCAAACCGGGCGCTGATTGGGCAGCGGGGGGCGCGGCGCGGCGCGGTGGTTGCTGGGAGTTGTAGTGCGGCGGGGGAGGGAGGGGAAGGGAGTGCAAGGGGAGGGTGTAAAAGCGCGGGGGTGCAAAGGAGGGGTGTGCAAACGAGTGGGGGTGCAAATGAGTGGGTGCGGAAAGGCGTGGGGGTGCGAACACGGTGTGGGAGAAGGAGTGAGTGTGCAAACGCGTGGATGTGCAAATATGTGGGTGTGCAAAAGCACACGTGTGCAAGCGCGTGGGTGTGCAAGCACGGTGCATGCGAAAGCATGGGCGTGAAAATGCATAGGGGGGCAAAGAAGGTGTGTGTGCAAAGGCGTGGGGGTGCAAAGGTGTGGGTGTGCAGGCACGCTGGGTGCAAAAGCCTGGAGATACACACACATGGGCGTGCAAATGGGTGTGCACGCAAACACGGTGCGTGTGAAGCTGTGGGGGTCTCAGCAGGGGTGTGAGCACAGGGGCGTGCAAGTGAGGGTGTGCAAACAGGGGTATGCACACATGGGAACGTGTGTGTAGTAGTGTTGCAAGGGGAGGGTGTAAAAGCGCGGGGGTGCAAAGGAGGGGTGTGCAAACGAGTGGGGGTGCAAATGAGTGGGTGCGGAAAGGCGTGGGGGTGCGAACAAGGTGTGGGAGAAGGAGTGAGCGTGCAAAGGTGTAGACGTGCAAACGCGTGGGTGTGCAAAAGCACACGTGTGCGAGTGCGTGGGTGTGCAAGCACGGTGCATGCAAAAGCGTGGGCGTGAAAATGCATAGGGGTGCAAATAAGGTGTGTGTGCAAAGGCGTGGGGGTGCAAAGGTGTGGGTGTGCAGGCACGCTGGGTGCAACAGCCTGGAGATACACACACATGGGCGTGCAAATGCGTGTGCGCGCAAACACGGTGCGTGTGAAGGTGTGGGGGTCTCGGCAGGGGGTGTGAGCACAGGGGTGTGCATGTGAGGGTGTGCAAACAGGGGCGTGCACACATGGGAACATGCGTGTGTAGTAGTGTGTCCATGGCTGTCTGAGTGTGTGCATAGTATGTGCACACACGTGTGAGCACAGCTGTGCAATACAGACACCTGTGTGTGAGCATGGGGGGTGCGTGTGTAGTAGTGTGTCCATGGCTGTCTGAGTGTGTGCATAGTATGTGCACACACGTGTGAGCACAGCTGTGCAATACAGACACCTGTGTGTGAGCATGGGGGGTGTGCATGTGGGTGTGCAAACACAGGGGTGCACATGGGAGCAGGTGTGCATGCAGATGGATGCATCCACGTGTGTGCTGGGGTGCGTGTGCGTGTAGCTACACGTGTGCACATATGTGCATGCACACGTGTGAGCACGTGTGTGCACACAGGCAAATGTATGTGACAGCAAAAGCGTGTAATCGTGTCGGTGTGCACACAGGAGCGGGTGTGCATGCAGCTGGGTGCGTGCACATGTGCCGGGGCACACGTGTGTGCATAGATACATGTGTGTGCACGCGTGCACGCACGCGTGTGAGCGCAGTTGTGCACACAGACACACGTGTGTGTGTGTGTGGACACAGAGGCCCACGAGCAGGCGTGCGCGGGCCCTCGTGCACGGGTGGAGGGACACACACGCACAGGGGTGTGCACAGGCGTGATGCC